TTTTCAAAATTTCAAACTCCGATTAGGCGGAGCTTGAATTTTGTCAATTTTGTGAGAATTCGAATTCCCGTATGTCATGTGACTTCATCGTTTGATCGGAGTTTCAAACTCTGTTTCGGTGGAGTTTGAATCTCCTTCAATTTCGCAGGAACGCGAAATCCGAAGTCCCGTGACTTCGTTGCACGATTGGAGTTTAAAATTTCACTCCACTTTTCTATTCTCTTCTCTTTCGCTCTTTCCTTTCGCGCTTTCTCTTTGCCCCCACTTCACCACACCCACATCCTCTTCCCCTCCGTCCCACTTCCACTCTTCTACCCACACTTTTATTCTCATTCCGTCCTTCTTATCTCTTTATCGGCTCTAAAAAAAAAAAATTTTAAATTTTTAATTTTTTTTTTTGACACTTCATGTCACTAATTTTTTAAAAAAGCAGAACGGTCATAATAAAAATACCTGCGAAGCAGGTATTTTTATTATGACCGTTCTGCTTATAAAATAATTAGTGACACCAACTGCCAAATAGTAGAGTGTCAACAACGTTGAAACGTTGATTGTCGGTTGTTACATGGGGGTGTCAGTAGAAACCAAGCTTCTTGTTTCTAAGTAAATTTTTTTCAAACTTTAAATTAAAATATCTCAAACTTAATAAATTTTTTTATTTTAATTCTATATAGTTATAGAATTAATATAAAAAAATTCCATCAAGTTTGGTTTAATGTTGACAAGATATTTTAATTTAAAGTTTTAAAAAAAAACTTACTAAAAACAAGATGCTTGGTTTCTATTGACACCCCCATATGCAAAATTTCGTTCCTGTCACTTTTAATTAGTACACCAAGGTCGATTAAACATTAGTTTTCAAGAATTTTCGCTTCGTAAGTGTCATGATTCTTTGTCGAAATAGCCAACTTTTGTGCTCATTGATTGGACATTGTTGCAACTGTGCTAACATGAGGTCAAATTAGCTCAGGGTTACAAGCATAGGTTATGCAGAATGGATGTTCGGAATTAATGATAGCAGGTTATTAAGGAATATATTTATTTATTTAGTCATTTAGTCGAAGTAGTGTTCTGACCCGGGTTGGCCTCACCCGGGTCACCCGCGGGTGAGCGGGTGACCCGTTTGAAATTATAGCCACCCGGGTAGTCAACCCGCGGGTCACCCGTGGGTCAACCCGCGGGTTACCCGTTGGTTCATATAGCGTGACAGCAGATTCTCGATTTTACTGGCTAACAGCCGTGATCTGCAAAATTGTTTACTAATTTCCGGCATAGAAAATAAGCCCACACTATCTGCTATGGTAAAATTGGCCCAGGAACAATTTTCACTTAATAGGCGACTGCGATTTCATTAAGGGGTTTCAGAATTAAAAAAAAATAGCATATTTTGAAGAGTTTAAAAAATCTTGTATATCAATATTTTGAAATCGGAAAATTAAATGAGAGT